ACTCCACCAGCTTGTATGGTAAAGCTGGCGGGCTAATAGTTCGGACAAGCCAGCAGTCAGACGCTGGGCAAGGGGGTGACTTTCTGACATTGTCTTCTTACGCTCAAACATGTCCTTGACAGACACATGACTGTGGGAAGATGAGCGTGAACTGCTCAAGGCGGGAGGCGGAGTGGCGGATGGTTTAGAGGGGACAAGGAGGACAGCAGTGGTTGACGTGGCTGAAGATGCTGGACCAGGAGGAGGCTGGCAGCTTAGAGTAGGCGAGCTGCTTGTACTCATGTGTTCATCCCATAGGCGTTTGTGATGTGAGATCATGTTCCTACGCAAAGCAGTTGTACCTAGGTGGGTGTTGGACTTCCCGCGACTCAGTTTCTTTTGGCACAGGTTGCAAATGGCATCGCTGTTGTCAGAGGCAGACACACAAAAAAAATTCCACACTGCTGAGCTCTGCAATGGCGGCATTCTGGTGGTGGACACAGCATGCGTTGATTGGCGTGCTGTCGGGCTGACCCCGGGTGTCGATGCATGCTGTCTGACTGTGCCACTAGCTCCTTGCGACGACCTCCCCCTGCTTCCAACTCGTCTCCTCCTCCTCCCTGTCTCCCCATCTGAACTTTTCGCCCTGTTCTTCTTCTTGTGGCCGGGCACCCGCGTGACATCCATGGGCGCGCCGTCATCCATCTTCACTTGTATCTGACAACTCAGCAAAGGAAGCAGCAGCTGGTACAACATCATCATCATCATCACACCGTACGTCCATGTGTGTAATGCTGCCTGCCTGAGACATATCCCTGTTATCTACATCCTCTGGCAATAATGGTTGCGCATCACTCATTTCTTCAAACGGATGTGTGAATAACTCCTCTGACACACCAACTGAAGCGGCTGTGGTGCTAGTTTTGGTGGTGGCGGCAGGCGGGTGAGTGGTATCTTGAGAGGTGCCTGACGCTAAGCTGGAGGAGGATGGTGCGTCAAGGTTCTGAGCGGAGGCTGTAGAAGATTGGGTGTCCTGTGTTAGCCAGTCAACTATGTCCTCAGAACTTTCAAGTTCAGGGTACGTGGCCTCTGAAAACTGGGCATTATTCTAGGGCCAAAGGGAATCACAGCACCACGACCACGATGGCCCCTGCGGGGTGGCCTGCCTCTGCCTGTCATTTTTGTTGGGATTAGTGGTACTATGCGTGCAAGCTACTGTGAGACCAGATATGAGTGGCAATGTGCACTGGCACAGTTGTGCAGAGCACAGGCTGTAGGCCTAACACCCGCTTGAAGCTAACTAACTGCTATTCAATCTATAACAGTGAAAAAAGTGTTGTTTTTTTTAAATCCAAGCTTTGTGTCACCAGATCTCATTGGTGGCACTGGTCACCGTATCCACTGTTAGCGTAACACACCCGCTTTAAGGACACTGACTGCTATTCAATCTATAACAGTAAAAAAAGTTTTTTGTTTTTAAATCCAAGCTATTGTGACACCAGATGTAATTGGTGGCACTGACTGGGGAAATGGGTACAGTATGCACTGTGAGCCTGACACAGAAGCTGGCAGCAGTGGCAGACAACTGACTGCTATTCAATCTATAACAGTGAAAAAAGTTTTTTGTTTTTAAATCCAAGCTATTGTGACACCAGATGCAATTGGTGGCACTGACTGGGGAAATGGGCACTGTGAGCCTGACACAGAAGCTGGCAGCAGTGGCAGACAACCAAGTGCATTTACATTACATAGAAAAAAAAAATAAAAAAAAAGCATACCCTTATCCCTAACCTAGCTATGCTTTTCCCTATCTTATGAACAGCAGCTACACTTTCCCTCCTCTTACTAAGCATGCAGCTTGAGAATGAATCTAAAATGGATGCTGTCCAGTAGGTGGGAGGGTCTGCTAGGGAGGCTGTGCTGCTAATTGGCTGGAATGTGTCTGCTGACTGTGAGGTACAGGGTCAAAGTTTACTCAATGATGACGAATAGGGGGCGGGTCGAACCGCGCATATGTTCGCCCGCCGTGGCGAACGCGAACATGCTATGTTCGCCAGGAACCGTTCGCTGGCGAACCGTTCGGTACATCACTAATAACAGGATCTGTGAGTTTATACCTGAATTGCAATGTATGTGAAAAAACAAAAAAAAAGAAACTACCTATATGAAGTTTAGCAAAGACTGATGATAAAATAGCTGCATAGAAAGTGTCAAAATATCTTTAGATGAATACCCTTGGTAGTCTAATTTAAAAAAATATATACATTTGGGGTGTTTTCCAGAGATTTATGACAGATAATAGTGTTACAATGTCACTATTGATAAATTTTAAAAATGTATGTTTTGAAACAGCAATATCCTACTTGTACTTATAGCCCTATAACTTGCAAAAAAAAGCAAAAAAGCATGTAAACACTGGGTATTTTTAAACTCAGGACAAAATTTCGAATCTTTTTTGCAGTTTTTTTCATTAGCTTTTGTAGATGAGTAAAAGATTTTTCACGTAAAAGTAAAAAAACATGTATTTTTTTCAATTTTGCATCATATTTTCTTTTTTTAAATTAAATTACACGAGATTCTATAAATAATGGTATGTAAAGAAATCCTTTTTTGTCCTGAAAAAAACAATATATAATTTGTATGGGAACAGTTCATGAGAGAGCGGAAAATTACAGCTAAACACAAACACCACAAAATTGTAAAAAGAGGCCTGGTCGCAAATGTACAACATTGCAAAACCAGTCCAGTCCTTAAGGGGTTAATGAAAGGTACTCGGAAATACAGCGTAATCTCTGTATCCCTAATATGTAAAGGAGGAAGCAGATTTGTACTTCAAATAGGGTACAGTACACGGTTTGAGATTCTAGCCAGATGTGAAGTGGGTAAGGTCTGTATAAATTCAATAGTACCCACTGTTTCAGTGCACAAGCGCTCCCACTGTACTGATTAGTATGGGAACAACTGAATTCTGATATCTACTAATAAGTGGTATTAGGAAGCTGTCTGAGTAATCAGTTCCCAATTGTTAGTCAAATATGTAGATAAGATTTCTTAAACAAAAAAATAAGTAACTTTCAAGCGAATATTATCCAATTATAGACCAGGATACTAATCACACTAGTTCAAACCTTGGTGGAGACAGAATAAGTCAGACAATGTATCTCTCTCACTATGCTGTCTAGAGAAATCACAGCTGTCTACTACTGTTGCAATGAACCCTAGGGCTAAGTAGCAAGAGGACACCCCCTAATAGGAACGTACTATACAGGATAAGACACCGGAGCTGGATATTACTAATAATGATAACGCTAGTACTAAAAAGCAGACAAAGACCCACACACACACACACAGTCAGATACAAACACACACAGTGAGATAGATACACACACACACACACACAGTGAGATACAGATACACACACACACACACACAGAGAGTCAGATATACACACATACAGTCAGATAT